GGGGAAGGAGGGGGGGAGGAAAAGCCTTAAGGCTCAAAATGATTTTGCAATGCTCTTCAGAAATGGTGATACTGTCATGAATTATATCAACTTAACAATACTGCTGTCTGGAAAGCCTATGGTCAGCAGCACGGACATACAACAAAATTATTACTGCAATGAGAGATGCTGGAGAGGGAATTCCATGCTTCTTCCACAGGAAGCAGGAGCTGAAGAGACATTTTCCCTTCTTCCTCAGGTGAAGAACAGCCAGCATGTGTAATGAGGCACAACAGCAAGAGGCCAACAGAATACTACAGGTGTTTTTCCCAAAGTGCCCACAACACTTTTATTTCTAGAAATGAAGCTGCTTTGAATGGGCTTGGCTTCTGGCAAAGGAGCACAGCTGCTCTGGTGCTACCATCAACAGTGTGCTCTGTATCTGTCTCAGGCTAGTGAATATTACACAGCAGCTCGGTTTCCACAGCACAGTCAGCATATTCAGGATGGACTGAGACCTGCCATCCCCAATCCTGATCTGGCAGCACAGAGAACAGCCACAGCTCAGCACACAGGCTAGGACTGCACGTGTGTGACCTCAAAGGCCAAAAACACTGCTCCTACAAGAAGCACTTTTCATGGAGGCAGACAGAAGGTGAAACTAAAGACAGATCAGCAGCTCTGCAGTTAAAGGGTGTCTCTTGGGAGAAGGCTAAGAAACTTGCTCCTTTTCCCTGCTGTCTACCACACTGCAGAATGTTACTTGTGAATTAAATCACAGAGGCCAGCAACTCACCCAAAAGGCTGCACACTCCATCCCTGAAGGATGGAAGTTGTAGTGAACAACACACAACCATGCTGCCCTACACCTTGGCGTTTGCATGATAGCATCCAAATTATAAAAAATAATGTCCTGTTCTCCAGGACAGCTGAAAACACAAACATATGTATCAGAAGAGCTGAGATTCTCTCAGCAGCCTGTGCTCCTGCAGTATTTCTAGTAAAACCTCACACAGAACTGCTGCTCCCAATATTTCATAAGCATTTTTTCCTATGTTTAGCCTAAGAGCCTCTGATCTGAGCAGGGTATTTCCTGTGGTACCTGAATGTTAATCAGAGTACAAACACATCTTTAACAGATAAACAGATAACAAACTAGATATGTTGCCTGATTCTTTAGTCTCTGTACAGACAAAAAAATTAATCTCAGAGATCAGATGTACAAGGACATGAAGTTTAGGTTTAATCTGTGAGATGCTTCTAGGTTTCTATGTCCCTATGGTACAATGTACTAAAATAACAAAACTATTACCCCTTAGGAGCTGTTGTTCTACAATGTGTGTCTTTTCAGGAACAAAAACCACAGAGGGGGAAAAAGATGAAACAATAAAAGATTAGTACAACACCGATGAAAAGAATTATCATCCAAAGTAGGCATTAATTTCTGTAACAGTGATAGCTATTACTTTGCTAAGGGTGAATAATATGGCTAATGCTTACAAAACAATTTGAGATGGTTTTTTATCCCTCAAAGTGCTGAAAGGTTGCAAAGAGCTGAAATGGCTGAAAATGCTTTAGGTTGTTGTAAGCAAATGCTGTTTATCCCAATATGTGAGAAAAGCCAAATGTTTATTTGTTTGTTTTTCTTGGTTTCCTCTTTCAGGTCACAGCCAGACTTACTGAACTGAAGTGCATCATGGCTTCCTGCCTTTTGGGAGGCATAACACTGCAGAAAGGAAGCGATGCATGCCTAAAAATAAAGATTCTGTTTGCTGGAAGATTTAAGGATACGGAGCAGCACAATCATGCAAGCTCTACGGGGAGGGATGGGTATATTCCCATCTGATGGGGTTCACAGATTCCCCCACTAAAAAAACCACATCATTAAGCACCAAGCCCTACTGTTTTGGTGAGTCAGCAAAAGAAAAGGAAAAGACCAAGCCAGACAAAATGTATTACTTGTGTTTCTAATTCCTGTTTCTCACACTACTGAACAGTATTTTTTCAGTTTTATAGGAACCTAGACAAGCACTCAAATACTAACACGCAAATTACGAATCTGAGTCAAACATGCACAGGTCACTGAGTTCAACGGCAGGCCTCGTACCCAGCCCTCCTCCAGCCCAACTTTAAACATCGAGAGCTCTCCGTGTTTGAAAAGCTGGTTAATACTGAGACAATGGAATGGATTAAGGACAGCATGCTTATTAGTTTTGGAATGCCTCTGAAAGACTTTGCAACAGATTTTATGCCGGGTTAGTGCTTTATGCAAATACTCCTACCAGTAACACACACTTCCAAACCAGCGCAGTGTCTGCAGCCTCACAGACCTCTAATGGCTGCTCAAGCCCTCTGAGACACTCCAGTGCTCAATATTCTCATTAATGTCCCACTAATAATTCCATCAAGTTTGATTTTAATTTGCGTGCAACTCCACTGTGCTCTGTGAGGAGCCAGAGAAACCCTGATCTTTACATTAAGAAGCTAACCACTGCTTAAGCTTTATAAATTCGCAGTCAAGTTTATTCAGCTGTTCCTTGCCATCTGCAAGGAGAAACCTTGAACTGTGAGGCAGAATGACAGCCTTGGAATGTATTAACACGTGCAGAAACACAGTCTCTGGACAAGCAGAAACTTACCTCCCTGGTTGTTTAAGGTTCTTCCTTCTGAGCAACAAATTCTTTAAGTCATCAAACCCCAAAACACACTGAAGTTGAGTTCACAAAAGGCAAACTCCAGTTTAGCAGCTTTTTAAAAAAAAAAAAAAAGTCTCATGGTTGCTATTTGTATATTTTCTGCTTTAAAAAGCAAACGAAAACTGTTCAAGACAAAACTTTGTGAAATGTGGTCTCTTTAAGTAAACAATTATGAGCAAATTCTTCTTGCTTGCATGTGTGCAGTTCCCATCAAGTTCAGTGAGGCCCCACATGCGTAAGTGAGGCATAAGTCAACCACAGACTCCTTTGATCTTGTGCCCTTAATCATAATGGCGATAGAAGTATTTCCTAAAGCCAAACCATGCTCTCGTTCCATTTTTAAACATGGTTTTACAATGACATAGTAAAGAACTGTAGTGCAACACTAAAACAAAAATGAACAAGGCAAAGCAGCTGTCCTTTCTTCCAGTTCATTGCTACCCTGCTCCTTCAAACTACCACCCCAGTACTCGCTCCTCCAGCTTTGGAGAGCCATTCCCGAGCTTACCACGTGCCTGACACAAAAGCTGCCCCTGGCACACACCTCCAAGTGTACTGCTGGATGCCAGGCAATTATCCTACAAGAAGTGTGCCCAGATTTCAGAGTACTTCCAGCAGTCACTACTCCAGAGAGATGTAAAAAGAACACAGCTGCACAAGTTGTACACCTCAACTGCCTCTATCCCCAGGTGGGGAGAACCCCCTCACTTCGAATCCTGGAACTGCAGCAATGTGCACAGGGCATCTACACAATCAGTCCTTTCAAATCCTGCCTCCAGCCCATACACAACTTGTTCTGTTACAAGAGAGACTTCCTCAAGGTCAAGGGAGTAAGATGTGATCTGGTCTTGTACACTGGGCGAATTCATAAATTGTCACTGTTCAACATAAAGCCACAAAGCATGGAAGTGAAAGCTGCACAACTACAACTGTGTGCTAGAAATGCAGATGACTACTGTGGAACTGTCTCCACGGTCTGTAGTAAAAGTCCTTGTGAAGTCACTGCCAGTGATGTGCAGTTGCCTTAAAAATGTAAATACATAAACAAAAATGTAAAGAAATACGCCTTGTTTCCTTCTGCCCTTCTACTCAGAAGCATAAAGAGAACTCAGTCTCATGCCATGGATCACACACCTACAAAACTTCTCCTTGAAGCAAAAAAAGGCTAAAGCCAGTACAGTTTTTCTGGCACTCCTGTAACATAAACATTGCCTTTCCTTTTGGGAGCTAAGCCTTACATGCCAAATTTTAAATCCAACTGAAATTTTGCAATCAGTGTTAACTGTGAAAATGCTGATGCAGCACTCACATCAACAGCATTTTGGCACTGCTTTGAATTAATGTTTGTTCTCCTCTTGTACTGTACCTTGGCACTAGGAAACTATTCCCCACACAGACACACCTATTGCATTACAACATATGCAGTGTGAGCCTCAAGAATGCCAGAAGAGAAGCGAAGGAAGCCCACACGGACTGTCAAGGACAAGGGGAAAGATGCTATGGAGGTATTAAAGGACAAACATTCAAATTACAGCCACACAGATACTGGGGATGGTCCTTTCCCTTCCTCCTCACAGTCTACACTTCACTTGACCAGCTGTGCCCAGAAAACCCCACAGGTTGTATAATTAAGCTTCATCCCAATTCAAACCCTGAAAAAAATCCCATCCCACTGGGTTTAGGCACCTCATCAGCTGAATCCTTTTTAACTGCTGGGCACAAGCTACAGAGCAGGGTCTTAAGGTGAGGGAAGACAGCAGAGGGTAGTAACCAAGCCAGACACAAGTGATTTTAGTTAATAATCTTTCAAACAACCAGTCTACTCTCAAAGCTGCAAGGAAACATCAAGACAGGACTGCTTTTAAAATGCGCCAAATGCTTAGAACCCCAAGGGCCACACTGCTTGCAAATACTGGTTTGCTATTTCAGTGCCAAACTGTTTAAACCCTCTGTCCGACAGGCTGCAGTCTGATGACACCAAGCTGAAATCAGCACACGCATGTACACACCCAGCCACAAAAGGGGAGCTGTACTGCACCCCAGACTAGTACGCCAGGGCAGGACTGCCTACAGCAGCCAACACACAACTCATCATCCAGCAAGAAGTGCCTGTACAAAAAGTGTACCCTGGGAACAGCATCTGGTGTAGGGATAAGGGAGGAAGCCCCCTGTCACTCAGGGTGTTTTACCTCATGGAGGGTGAGGTGCTTGCCATCTTTCCTTTTCGAGTCAAATCTGCCATATATTGCACTGTACTTCCTGATCTCCTCCTCTTTGTGAGGGTCATCATCACTCATCTCAAAGATGTGACCGATCATCTTTGCCAGTTTCTTATTTGTTTTCAGTAACTCCTTGACTTCATTAGAGTCACTTTTGGGCAGGGAGGGAACCATACGTTCTACGCATTCAGCAACTGACAGAGCGGCGGCGGCATCCAGGGTCTCGCTGTTTTCCTTTGGTGAGGCTGGAGAGCCAAGGTCAGCTGGGGAAAGACTGTGCTCGCTCTCTGTGGTGTGGTGTCCTTGCCAGAGTCTCTGTTCGCTGCTGTTCTGCAGCGATAAGCTCCCCACCACGTCAGATTTGCTCGCACCCACACTTTGCACGCACGTCGTGGCAGCACATTTTGGAATCTTCAGGTGAGGCTCTCTGCTGCTGCTGTTCCTTTCGTAACTGCTGCAGGAGATGCCCAGCCATGCAGGAGACCCTTCTGGCAGCTTATAGATTGGAATGCTGCTGACTGGTAAGGAGGTGAGAGGCTGGTTAAAAAGACCAGGGTTTGTGACCCAGTCCCTCAACGCCTTCTGCAGCCTTCGGACGTGGAGTGGTTTGCTAGCCATGCCTACGAGAGCCATTATCTCCAAAAACTCCTCTTCACCTGCTTCACAGAGCTGCTGGACATCATCACCACCCTGCTGAATGAAGGCATCAAAGTAGAATAAGAGATTTGCTTTTTGTAGTATTCGATACAGCTGCAATTCCCCCAGGGTTCTGGGTAGAGCTGACGCCATCACGGATGACAGAACCTGCAAACAGTAAAAACAGAGAGAAGATGAGCACCAAAACACTGACATCCAGATGCATTGCCACCACCACCCATCTTTCTGTGAGGCTGTCAACTCAGAGGACAGGAATTCTTTCTCTCACTGCATACATAGAAATCAAAAAAAAGGACAAAAACTCTATTTTTTTGACTAGTCAACTTAATGGAAATGTTTGTGAAAAAATAAATGGGCAGATAATTCTGATGCACCTACAAAAAAAGATGATTCAAACATGAAGCCAGCTTGTTTTCAACATTCCCACTTCATGTTTGTTCCCAAGAATGTCAGTCAATATTGTTCACTGCTCTCACTCGACTATCTCTTCTATCTTCAGATCAAAACGATCACGAAACACACTCCAAAGAATTACAGAATACTTGATTCTCTGAAGACAAAAAGCTCATCAGTTTTGATTCTTCTTAGCTCTCAAATCATTCCCCCCCAACAGGAGTGTGGAGGACTGTAAAACAACAACAAAGCAAAGTGCTTCACAGAAACCCAGAGGATTACTGAAGCCGGGCCAGTGAAAGGGTGTTTTCCAAGTATTTCTACAGTTTTCCCTGTTTCACATAAAAAGGATTTAATGTCTCTGGTGACCTTAATTATGGCAGAAATAGCTATAGACAAAGCAAAAATACTGATGGATTCCAATATACATAGTTTAAAAACCTGACTTTGAATTCACCTGCCCATTCCATTTGCTAACAGGGCTGCCTGTCACAGCACCACAAAATACTCAGAGCTGGAAAGGACCCACAAGAATCATGGAGCCCAACTCATTGACACTTATGACATGAAATACCACTCAGCAATACAGCAATTGTGCTTAAGGGCTCCCAACAGACAAATCACAGCAGTATTCTACCCTTACAGCTGCAGGAAAAAACATTTGTGCAAGTTTCAACTTCATAAACCCTGTTATCCAGTCATACCACAAATAATCAACTCTTCAGAGAATTCTAAGATCTCAAACACACACACCTCTTCACTCTACGATGGCTTTCACAACCACAAGCGGATAATTTCCAGCATTACTGTATTAAGTTAAACCACCAATCAATAAGGTCTAAAGCATGTAATTTATAGTTGGTTGGGAAAGTAACAGAACTAAAAACATTGAGCAGGTCTGCTAACATTGCTCTGGCTCTACTATCACATTGCACTTGAAAAAATGCACAGTAGTAACCTAAAAAACAACACCTACAGAACGATTTGCACACACTGGGGGGAAAACTATTTTAATGATGTACAACTCCCCTTCCTCCAAAACTGCAATGCAAGAATACACATGCATCCTCCAAAACTGCAATGCAAGAATACACGTGCACTATGAGGCATTGGGAGACTGGGAAAAGTATAACTAAGACAGTTATGTACTGTACATATTGTACAGTATGTACTTTGTCATATTGGTTTGTTGTTTGGATATTTTGGGGTTTTTTTACAATATGAGCCTTTTGTTCAGCAACTCAAAATAAACAGATATAACTGAGCCCAGCTTCTATTCAGAAGGCATCTGACAGATCAGGTTTTTGCTACAAAACTTTGATGAAACTCTACTGGAGAAAAATAAAATTAGGAGGCCAACAGAAACCTTCCAGAAATGTATGTGGCAGCAACAGGATATCTACAATGAGTCTCTTCAGGAAGAGAGATAGAGCCCTTGGAAAATAAAAGAAATCACCCCAAAAATACAAACCCCCAAACCCACCAGCTGAACATATCATTTTTTATATGCTGGTATTTGTAAAACAGAAGGGACAGCAATAGCTGTTGAGATCCGACAAGCCACCTTAAGGAGCTGCTGGTGAGGTCAAGAGCTAATAAACTACACACTTTGGAATTCAGGGTGAAACTGGAAACATTTAAGAGCTACATGTTTTAGAAATACAGTTTAGCTTTTGAAAATCATAGTTAACTGCAGAAAAACAATTAAGTACTGTCTACACTCAGAGATGCAAGAAGCAACAAGGAAAAAGAGGAAAATCGCTTAGGGGTAGATCTTTAAAGGGCACCTAATTGATTATTTTAAAAATCACCATTATTTCACAGAATTTGATAGAAAAAAAACCCCTTCCATTCCACACAAACTTTGACAAGACGAACAAAACTAACAGCATACAGTTTAGTGGCATTTCAGTAAACTGTTCTTACCCTCCCATTTCAAATGATGCTGACTTTTCCCCATCAATACCACAAATTAACTTATATAACTTTTAAAAGAAGGCCCATTTCCTCTGAAAGTCATTCATCTCAGCACAAAATCTACATAAATCTACATAAATGGACTTTGAGCAGAGAGCTAAATTGAATCCTTAGAGGATGGTGGCAGTGAAATTACACACAGCCCGAGAGCTCCAGGCAAGCCACAGAACTGAACTCATTTTTCCAGCCCACAGGCTGGAAGAGCAGCAACAGTCCACGAGCAGCCTTTACCTGCAGGCTTCTAATCAACAAATCTCCTCATGACAGATAAAACTGGATTAATATGTACTATGGAGGCGTCAGGAGTGAGTCCATGGTTCAGACTGTGCTGAGATCTGCATTTAAAGCAAGACTGAAATCCCTTTGTTTTGTACTTCACAGCCCCGTTGTTTTTTCAAATTCACTACAGTAACTCCTGAGAGGGCCAAGCCAATTTTCCATGTACGACTGCCACTGATTTCTGCAGAGAAAGCATTTTCAAACACTCCTCCTTTTGACCTCTTTGCTCCTTGCATGAAACACAGGTCCTTCTGCACTCACCTCAACGCCATCCCAAGTATTTCTAAACTTTTACAAGGGGAAGGCTCCCTGCCCTTTCCGAGACGGCCTCACCACGCCGCCAGCTACGCTGCTTCTCCAGACATGTCCAGTGTCCTGGTTCGGCTCAGCTCACAGCCTACAATGCCAGGAAAGCAGGTAAGCTAGTTCACCTGGAGGAGTAAGATGAGGCTTAGGAAGAGGACAAGCAACAGACAAGGATTGCTGAGAAAGCAGTGCAGCACTGCCTGAATCAGAGGAGACCGTTAACCCAAAGGACACACGGCACTGCTCTCTCTGCTTATCTATCCAGCTAAGCAAAGCCTCAGCACACCCACTCAAGCCTCAGTGTCCCACATCTTTCGGGTGACCTTTAAGCTGCGTCTCAGAGACCTAAAGTACTGCTTTCCACCACTGCTCTCATTTCTTAGCGCATCAGGGACTGTGCTTTTGGGGCAAAGGGTGAGCACAAGGAGAGGTTACGCAATGACAAGACACAAGGCAAGCTCACAGCCAGGAGACTTGTGTATGCTCCTAAGGAGGAAGAGCAAGCACCTCGGGTAAGACCCTGGGGCACCACATGTGTTCCCCCTCTCCTGCAGCCTGCTCGGTAAGTCTTAGGCTTTCTAATCTGTGACGCCCAACCAACCTGGCTCAGGAGTAACTGCCTGGTCATGTCCTCTGGCAAACCCTAAGAAGCTAACCAGAATGATCTGCTGCCTCAGGAGTGATCAAGTGGATCTAAGCTGTAGTGGCCAACTACAAATGCTTTTTTCCAGCAAAACCAGGAATGCAAAGATGGCACGGGGAGATCTACGGGAATAAATGAATGCAGCCATGGGCACTCGAGCTGCTACTTCTCCCCCTGCTTTGCTCATTGTTCATATCAGTGAGAAGTGTGGGAACACACAGGGAAGAGCAGCCTTCTCTTACATTTTTCACATACAGAACAAACAAAGAAGCCAGGAAACTCCCCATAGCAGACAAAGCTGTTTAAAATACATGCAAAGCTTCATACTGTTATAGCCACAGAAGAACCAGGAAATCACAAGTTAGATTTTCACTCAGCCTTTGCAACCCACAACCATGCATTCTGATTTTCCACATTACCTCATTCACATCCACAGCCTATCACACCACACGCCATGCCCTCCTGTCCCAACGCTGGATGTCACCTTAACTCTGAACACAAACATAACTCCTGGGAAAGAGGAAAACAAAAACCACAGAGACACCACAGGGCACTCTTAAATATTTGTAAACAACTAGAGCAGGAGTCACAATCTATTCCTCCTCCCTCTATGGAGACAAGGGGCAGTAGCAGCTCTGATCAAAACCTTTAAACGCAGGAAAACACCCGTTCCTTCGCATTCTGCCCGCTCCGAGTTCAAAGCTGCACACTTCCCGGAGGTGGCAGGAACATACACGGCTGCGGTAGGCAGGTGGTGGATGTGGGGGAGAGGGAAAACTCGGGAGCTGTGGGATGCAGGCATGGGACAAGGACTTCACGAGCAGCTTCCCAGCTTTTTAAGGCTGCACTAGAAGTGAAAGCAACCGAGCAGTTCTCACCAGTTTTCAGAGGATTTTATTTCAGGTGAATTCTATTTGAGCTGTCACCAATTAAATTAGGAATACGCACAAGGAGAAAGTGTGAAACATTACATCCCCGTATTTTAGGCAAAAGCGATTATTTTATAATATATCTTGATCACTTTGGGCGTTTTGAAAAGTCTCTGAAGACAAACCGGATTTGGGTTTGAGAGCTGCCTGCTTTGCATATTCATTACACTTCTGCTGCGTTTCCAAAGGACTTTTAGCAGGAGAAGAAAATTACATGTAGCTGCAGAAGCGAGACTTCGCAAATTAAATACTCTCGTCTAGCTCCGAGATGTGCCAAAATACAGCCTATGGAGCGAGCTCCGCGTTCACATACCACATCCCTATCTCGCCGCAACTAATGAGAAACTTGAAACGTGCAAAAAAAAAAACCAAAAAACACCACAACGAAGGACGAAAGCAGAGTCGGAACCACTTCATATCCCCGCACGGCCCCGCAGAGTCCTCACCGCCCGCAGCGGGACGGAGCAAAGGGGGAGGAAACACACCGAGCGGGCACGG